GGAGGAGAAGGGATTGTGGCGTGGCCATCCCCCCTGGGGGGTGATTTTTCACTTTCTGTCTGTCTCTGTCTTTCTGGCGAGCGCACACGCCCTATAGCAAAAACCTCTCCCAAAAAGAAAAAGAAAAAAAAATAAAACCTCATGCCCTGGTGCCCCCCGGTGCCCCAGCCCAAGCCGATGCTGTGCACATTCTCAGTCCCCCGGACCATGCTAGGCTGCCTCCTGCACTCAGCCTGAGCATTGTCTTGGTGCCCTGCTTCCCTCTGCCTCCCTGCCCACTCTGTCCAAGAGCTCGCTGGAAGACCCAGGCTTGCCCAGGTATTTTCAGCACACTTACCCAGATCCAGGCCCATTGATAGTGGGGGATTCAAGCCCATCAGGGAGATCCTGTCATTTAACATTGATCACTGGCCAAGATGCTTTTCTTTTTTTACAATAGACATTTTCTGGAACAAAAATATATCCTTATGGTACAGAAACTAGACTGCATAAGTTTTTCACATCTTTATTAAACAAAGCATTATAGTTTTTTGTTTTTTTGTTTTGTTTTGTTTTGTTTTCTTAGTATTAAAGAAAAGAGTAAAATACTTTCTGTTCTCTTCCTGTTTTGTTAAACACAAACCAGTCAATTAACCCAAAGCCATTTAAATGAAACGACTCCTGGACTGGTCCCATAATATAGTATCAAAAGGCAGATCCCACGTGGCTGACTGGGGTTAGAATTCTGGCCCCCAGTAAACATGCCAGGCATGCACACAGGGTCCCCATAGGATGGAAATGGAGGAAAAAGGATCGCAGTGTGACCAGGCCCCAGTGCTCTCTCTCTTCTTGTGTGCACACGCTTTCTCTCTGTGCCTATGCCCTCTCCAACTAAAAAAACATGAAAAGACTCGGACCAGCCCTGTAGTACAGTAGTAAAGCCTGTGCATAGGGAGCAGTGTCCCACATGACTGACTGACTGACTGTGATTCAAGTCACTTCCACGATGGCTTTGACAGAAAACACAAAATAAAAAAAAAATAAATGACTATCAAGTAGCCCCAGCATCGGGTCTGTCCTGCCCTGGCCTGGCGCCTGCAGGAAGCGGACCCAGTTCCTGAGAGCCCGAGTGCATGGCGCAGGGTGCTTTCTGCAGAACTCACTGTCCATCTATGGAACAGAAGGCACATGCCTGCTTCAGGCGGGAACCCTACATTGGCCCTCTCACCCTGTCCTGCCTGCTCTGACTCCATTCTGTCTCTGATAGGTTTGGTTTGCTCCCTGCTCGGGACCCTTGCAGTTGTCTCCCCTCCATGACACACTTTCTCAGACAGCTGCTCAGCCCGTGCATGCTGCCCTCCACCCTGCCAGCCATTGCTTAGCTGCCCCGCCCCCAACCCCCAGCTGTTCTGTTTGGGATTAGAGTCACCCCACCCCTAGCACTTTGTCCTGTCTCTGTTTGCTTTTTCTCCGTAGCACTTGCTACCATCTGACCTTACAACCGTCACTGTCACAGTCTCGTCCCACTTGAACATAAGTTCCTTGTAAAGGGACGTCTATTTGAATTAGTACCATATCACTGCGTGGAAAATGGTGTGCACTCAAGAATGAGTGAATGAATAATGAATGGGACCAGGGCAAATTTCTTGACCTCTCTGAGCCTCTGCTACCTTATGGGCAACACAGCAGTAATATCTACTTCCCTACA